TGGCAACCTCCTGGAAAACATCTTTGTCTTAAGATAGGCACTTGAGCAATTATTATTATCTTTGAGGCACCAATTTTATCATTGTGTGAACTTAAACTTATGAACTTAAAACAATCTTCAAAGTAGCTATAAAACACTAAACTATAGCATTAAAACTTAATTAATGACTCAAAGTAAAAACCTTGTTAAACATAACCAGAGCCTAATAATTTTTGTCAACCCTCATACAAATGTATATTGATCATGTAAACTTGTATGATATTACATTTACCAATTACGATTAATACATGAATAAAACAATTATCATGTCTAGAATGCACTGCCAGCAACTCTCTTCAAAAGAGTCCCAAATCACAGTCCTTGAAGTGCTTCAAGAAAGTTCCCAGGTGCACAGCTCTTCATGTAGCTGTTTTTCTCTTTTGGGCTCTTACGCCCTTCAAAGCTTTGTAATCACCTTTCTGGTCCAGGTGTCTTCATTATTTTTCTCTTATCCTGCAGTGTTTATTTCTAAAGAAAACTCAAAAGAAGCTTTTAATGACATTTCCCAGGCCCCCAAGGTTGTTTTCTGTATTTAGTTAATTATCATAAAAGTGTCTAAGTAGTATATTATGAATTCAGTGAAAACCCACTCTATAAATGTTTACTTAAAATTTAACTATAGAATTAAGTAAAAACCTTAACGATTAATCTTTATCCTAAGTCTGTGAAGACAGTGTTATAAATCACCTACATAACTCCTAGATAAGTGTTAGAACTTATAATGAATTCATAATGAACTTACTATAAACTTGTGCTTCTATAAAACCTTATGTCTAAACACTAATCTGCATAATTCTAAATCAAATAAGGAGTGAATATACTTATATCATTTTTACTCAAGCAATATCTAGTAACTTATAACCAAGTGAAAGAAAGCATTCTTAATGTGCTTCAGAGTTTAACCCTTGCATATGTTAGAAAAGGCCAAGCAGCATAGTGGGAAAATGGAAAAATGAACCATGACATTCTCAGGTGAGGTGTGAGTACTTCACATAAACACTCCATTTTCTTCTTCCACAACTGCACAGAATTTCTTCAGCTGTATCATACAGCAAAGGTGGAAGACAGAAGGGCCTCAGCTTCCTGGGCTCGCCCTGCGGCCCGGGGTCTTCGACCCACCAGGACCCTGTCAATCAGGTGGACCTCCAAGGCCGGCTCCCAACACCACATCTTTTAACAAACTGCCTTGATGAGTAGATAAAAATCTTTAAATTTTTCCTGTCCTTATGAGTGCATTTCTCCTACAAAATTAAAGAATTATAAAGATACAAAAAATTGAGGCAATTAGTTTTGTCTAAACTGGAGGTGTTGCATATGAGTAATGATAGAAGTTATGAGTTTATTTGCTTTGTTATTTTAAGATAATGTGTATGCTGGAAAGCCTTGGAGGACGCTTAAATGTATGTTACCCTTTGCTTTTATCAGTCAATATTTTGTGAATGCCATACAGACTTGCATCCCATAAAAACTTTAGAAAATTTCAATTTTGTTACATACAATGAAAAGTAAATACAAATATGTAGCACTATTTTAGTAAGTGCCTATGGGAGCACGTAAGTGCATTTTCCGGATTTGAAATATAGAGTTTGATATCACCAGGATAAAGACTCATATGATTGTGTATTTGCATTACACAGAGAAAAAAATTACATGGCTAAGAGTAAAAAGCTGTAGATAATAAAAATAATGAACTACCACTTTAGGTATAAGGAAACAAAAAAATAAGTCAAGTAAGAGAGGTCAGACACATCAGAATAAGAAAGTTAGAAATGGAGATCTCAGTCCTGGAAGCCAGGTAAGTAGATCACAGAGGAGATTCTGTAAACCAAGGAGTGAGGGACAGCTGCTGGGGCAGGGAACTAGCGAGGAGAGAACGAGCAAGGTCAGGGAGAAGTGAAAAAAAGAACATTTATGCCCTAATTTGCCAGCAATTTGTTATAAAACAACCTTACCACCTGCAGAGCAGAATTTAAAAATGTATTGGCACAAACTATCAAATCAACCAAATTAGAGCAGCCTGTCTTCCAGGTCGCCAGCACAGGCTACAGTGGACATTTAGCAATGGCAGCCCTTCTCAGGAAGGCTGAGAGAGAAAGAAATGTACTTCAGGCAAGCAAGGGATGATACAGTTGAAGATGATCAGCATAAGGTCATGAACATTGCATATAGACTTCGTCTTTTAAAAGCCAAAGAATGCATTTTGCTTTTGGCACAGCTATATGATATCTTAAATCATTTTGCTACCACATGAAACTAAATAGGACAAGAAAGAGCCACTCATCTCTTTATTGCACAATCATTTATACTAAACTTTTCCATGAAAGGCTAATGTTTCTCTTCGACCTTGGGCGCACATGTGAGTCATTGCTCTTCTGATCCTGAATATCTTCTGATATCTCTAAGTCACCATTTGTACCTTCACTACAGTTCCCATTCAATCCTCCTCCTCCTGGCCTCCTTCAGGCCTCCATGAGTCTATTCAACCTGTAGCATGGCTGCCAAGTTCTCTCTTCTTCACACTTGACTCGAAGAACCTCCTCCTTTCTTTCATCGTGTTTTCTAGGCATAGGGGTTTTTCAGCTTTACATCATGCTGTGAATCGACACTTGATCAGAACAATCTAATCCATCCTCATCCCAAGCCCTGTGGGATATCCTATTCAACATGCCATTTCACCTATGTGGAGAGGGTTGGTCCACACTCATACCACTTGTCTATTTTTGTTTCTGATCCGGGGTGGACACCACAGAGAACTGGCAAATAAACTCTCTTCTCCTTGCCTTTCTGCTCAGAAAGACTGCAGCTTATGTTCTCCAAATTAAAATGCAGCTTCCTTTATTTCTTGTTTCTTGGTATGCTTTCCTTTCTTCTAGACAAAGATGATTGGATTTTCTTTGCACTCTACTGGAATCTTGTCCCAAAATGCTAACATTGTCACTTAATTATTTTTAATTTTAATTTTAATTTTTTAAATTTTTTTTTGTGTGTGTGTTGGAGTCTTACTCAGTCGCCCAGGCTGGAGTGCAGTGGCCGCTCCCGGCCACCGCAGCCTCGACCTGCTGGGCTCCGGCGATCCTTCCACCTCAGCCTTCCGAGTAGCCGGAATTACAGGCGTGTGCTACCACGCCCGGCTGATATTTAGATTTATTGTAGACATGAGGTCTCGCTGCCCAGGTGGGTCTCGAACCCACGGGCTCAGGCAATCCACTCACCTCAGCCTCCCAAAGGCGCGGGATTACAGGCTGAGCCACCGAGCCCAACTTACTTAATTATTTTTAAAAATCTCTGCATCACTAAAGTTCATGAAACTATGAGTTCCAATTAGGAGGGTAGTGATAACTCTGTAAGCACATGATGACTTGGCACATGATGACTCTGAGATTAATCATTATAAATGCATTGTCCCACCTTTGAATTTTTCCTTCTAATTCTGATTAAGCATAATGACTCTGAGTGATTTTGAATTCACACAATAATATACTTACCTTAATTTCCTGGTTTTGTTCCATCAGAAAAGCGGTGAATTTGACTGGAAGACAGTTTGTCCTGCAAGTCTCATCAGTACCATTTTCAAACTAACCAAATCCTTTATTTTGCTGGGTAGCAACCATTCCTGCTTGGTCAGACTATACTATACTTTCTATCAATGAAGATCCAGCAGCCCTGTTCCCCTGTATGACTTTCCTGATTTCACTTTCTGCTGCCGCTGAATACATTTGAAAAATCCTTAAAACTAATTAAGTTAATTTATGTTTTATGTTATTAACATCTCATTCTGCCTTGATTTTTTTCTGCCCCAACAATAAACCCTTGAGGCATTTGAAATACTTATGTTTACTTGCTTAGTAAATCTTTAGTATCCATCACAACATCAAATTTTGATGACAGTAATAGAGATGGATAAAGGAGACAATCACACCCCAGAGAAGTTATGAAACAAGAATGTCCAGTGAGATTTACTTAGAATGAAGTAACAGACAAGATAAAGCCCTAAGAATAAGACTGGGTGCATTTTAAATTGAGATGACAACCATCCCATAGTCCTAAAATAATGCCTGCTTCTAATATATACTATACATGACTTAATTGTCTCACGCTGATTTAAAAACAAGACTTAAATGCAATAGAAGCTGACAGAAACTTAGACCTGATGCCTTTTCAGCCAGGATAGGGACAAGCACTGGCATGTATCAAGCCTCAGTCAACTGATAGATTAGTAAGCTAGATAATAAATAGCAATTACAATTCACTAGGATAAAGGCCATGGTACATATCGTTGAAGAGTGCAGTAGAAGTTCCCTACTCAGAACAAGAGGTCAAGCAGAGCTTGATAAACATCTCCATATAGTTCATGCTTTGTGCCTTGCCTGGACTGTGGTCTACCTTGGCTGCCTAGATAACTCTTGCCCCTCTCAGACTCAAATCCACCTTCTCCTTAAGCCAGATTTACTCTTTCCTTAATCAACCACATGTTCATTCTTCCCTGCTCATTACCTTCCACTCTGGCAGGATTCATTGCTTCTTTTTAGTTGCCGTAATCGTTTTATAATCTGGTCCATGATTAGATAGTGGTACACTGCCCCTTCCCCATCTTGAATAAAAATCAGCACTGTGGGGCCAGAGAAAGCAGACAGAAGGACAAGTACCTTGAGTAGGTATTTAAAAATGAATCCTCTCCCACTCTCTGTTTCTCTTCCCCGTACTTTTGTCACTGCACTATTGATACAAAAATGTAGTTCTGGCTTCACAGTTGCCTGTGGGTTACCTGTGGATACGAAAAAGAGAGCCAGTAGAACACAGCTTTTCTAACAGTCTTTACATGCTCCAGCCAGATCCTCTTTCCAGGCATCTCCAGCATGCAGAGATGAATCAGAGACTCAGACACAAAGAGTTACATGACCAAACTCAAGCAGCATATACACTTAAAATTCTAGGTCACTGGATGGGTGGGGGAACAGGTTTTTGAATGTTGTAAAGTTCAGGTGCCAATCTGTTGTCTTCCTGCCGAGTTGGTCATTGTGATGCTCAAATTAAGTGAGGATGAGATATTCTCAAGGTTGGAAGGATTCTGTGGCTGTCTTCTCAAAGGTTTGGTGGTGGGCAGGGTGTGAGAGGACCTCAGCTGAGTTGTGTGGGAAGTTCTGGGAGTTGTTTAGGCAATAGCACCTAAGTATGAGAATTTACCATGATGACTACTTTGGTGCTTTTTGCCCCCTTAAAATAAAGTTACATCCAAAAGGGGTTTTTTGCTATCTTGCCTCTCCAGCACCTAAAGTATACATTTGGATTATTTATTAAGTGTTGTAATTGTAGACATTAGAACATTAGAGTGTCCTTACTCACTGTTTCCATAACAAAATTTATGATAATTAAATTGTGCTGTCAGTAGACCTGCCTATCTTCTCAACTCTTTCACAGGGATTATGTTTTTGTTTGTTTGTTTTTTAATTCTTGGAGTTTTGCACAATGCCTGGCACATAAATCTTGCTAACTTAATTTATTTTTAAATTAATGAATAGAATAACTTTGATTGTTAATTGAATATATGCAGTTTAGAACTCTGCTAGATAATACTAGAATAAATGCTTTTGGATGGTGCTGCCAAGAGAAGTCAGTATACCTGAACCATCTCCAGGTGGAACTAGGATGTCAGCCTGAAACGCATAAATAATTCTCCAAGTCTCCTGGAGAAGACGCAGGCCAGAGGTAGAACAAAGCAAGAAGAAGGATATTTTTTCCTACAGTCAACTTTTAAAACACCACACTCTCTTGTTTCCATGGCAAGAAAATCTCCTGGGTGCATTGCCAGGAGGTTCTCCCTTAGAAAGTGAAAAGAGGAAAGAAAAGAAGGGAAAGAAGCAACGCATAGCTGTGTTTTCTGAAAACAGCTTGACTCTCCTGCTGCCACACCACAGAAACACCTCATCTGATGGTGGCCAGGTCGCCTCTACTCAGCATGCTGGAAGCTTGTGATTAATTTTGTTTGACAGCAGCAAAACGTGTGCTCTACCTTGGATGCCAGCTGATTATTTCCAGTATGTTTGCTGCTGAAAATTCCATTAATGATTTGCAATATCTATTCAACTTGAAGAAAGGAGAACACTACTTTTCTGAAGACAAAAAAGTAAAATTGAACCCAGTCTTATGGAAAAATCCGAATCTACAAAGTGAACATTTGATGACAGAGGAATTGAGGGAAATATCAGCAATATCCCCCTCACCTTTTTTTTTGTACAAAGGATTTGGTCTGTTATGGACAACCTATCATTAGAGAATGTGTTGTGAAGAATAACAAATTTTTTTTTTTTTGAGTTGGAGTCTCACTCTGTCGCCCAGACTGGAGTGCAATGGCTGCTCCCGGCCACCCGCAGCCTCGACCTGCTGGGCTCCGGCGATCCTTCCGCCTCAGCCTTCCGAGTAGCCGGAATTACAGGCATGCGCTACCACGCCCGGCTAATTTTTTGATTTATTGTGGAGATGAGGTCTCGCTGCCCAGGCGGGTCTCGAACCCGCGGGCTCAGGCAATCCACTCACCTCAGCCTCCCAAAGGCACTGGATTACAGGCTGAGCCACTGAGCCCAGCACAAATAACAAATTTTTATTGATATGTTTTCCTTTTCTTCCCAGTGTAAAATATGGCAGGTTTTAATGTTCAACTTGATGTGTATTTGCTAAGTGCCTACTGTGTTCAAGACCCTCAGTAAACATTTCCTGAATCAAATGGTGTGTCTCATCATAAATATTTATGAACAAGACCTGGTCCAAGCTCGGGGGGAACCTACCATCTAAGACAGTGATTCTCAGCTGTAGCTTCACATTAAGATCCCCAAGGGGACTTTAAAAGTTTCTGAGTCCTCAGAAATTCTGATTTAATTGGTTCGGAGTGAGCCCTGTAGCCTCAGTATTTTTTCATATGTTCTCATATGCATAATGTGCAACTAGATTTGAGAATGAACAACTGATAGAAAAGGAAGTGAAAAGGAAGTATACGGCCAAATCCCAGCAGCTGTACAAAAGACACTGTATTTCAGTCATTTGTCTATTTGAAAGGTATGAGGATTTAAAAGGGGCTGCCAGAAAAAAAAAAAAAAATTCCATGAAGGAAGTAATATTTCAATGGACTTCAAATGTGTAAAATGTTGATTGGCAGAGATAGGCATCCAGGAAGAGGATCAAAGACCAGGATGAAAGAATGAGCCCATTCTGTGAACACTGTGAATACTGTGTAACTAATGTGTGCTTATGACAAAGGAGTACAGGGTTGATTGCTGTTACTAAAGCATTACCATAGATTTGTAATTTCAACTAGCTATTGACTCAAATACATTTATGAAGTGATCGCATAGCTTAGCCATTTTCTTTTCTCATGCTTTAGCTAGTACTCCTAAAACAACAGGGTTGAAACTATCTAATATATGGTCGGATAGGCCTAGTTTTAAAAATGCACTTCAGTACCTTGCTATTCAATTGTGTGGTCCTCAGATAAGCTGTATTTGCATCATCTGTAGCTTGTTAGAAATGCAGCTACTACAGGATCTTGGCTCCCACCCCAGACCTAATGAATCAGAATTTGCATTTTAATAAAATCTTCGTATACACACTAAAGTCTGACAAACACTACTTTAGTACCTAAATTGCTATTACATTATTAGCTATAATAAATTGAGGAAAGTAGAGAAGCAGACATATTTCAGTAAATTAAATTTTTACCTGACTATGGGTATGAACATTGAATAGGAAACAATCTTTTTTCTAATCAGATATATTTCTATATCTGTCATGCTATGTATCCTCCACATAGCAATTTACTCAAGTGTGATGAATGCATGTAAATGTAGGTGACTTTGGATAATATTCTCCCCAGTTCAATTCCCATATCCAGAAAAGATAATAGCTTTTCACTGTAGATCTTGGTAATGTTTTCTGTGATTTTCAAATGGATGTCCTCAATGTCACCTCTGAAAACCTTTTTGTTCCTATATACTGTACCTCTGCCATCTCACTGCACACAAGTTTGGTGGCATGTGGCAGATAGGAAAGAAAGACCTGAGCCGGGGAAACTCGTGGATGCCAGAGGGAACCTGAGGTACCCAGGTAGAGGGTCTAGCTTGGCACATAGGCATGATCTACCTCTTTAATAGCAGGAAATAGTGATTCAGAGAAGTTTAGTTAAGTGGCAGAATGTTTTATGGATGGTTATTTTATAGCAGTGCTTCTGACCTAAGAAAAGGCAGTATATTAACAAATAATTATTCAAACATTCCTTTTCCAGTATTGAATTTGGTTATCAGGTTAAATACTATTAGGATAATACTTAGCAACAAGAGCTGATATGTTTTAGCTACAACAATCATGTGCCTTTCTCAGACTTTAATGTGCAATGTAATATCTGTGGATGCTGTTCAAAGCAGATATTCCAGACCCTATTGAGGTAAGACCCAGGAATCTTCCCTGAAGCAAGCATACCAGGAAATTGTGTTGCTAGTACTAAGAATACTACATTTTGAAAATACAAATTGTTATAAGACATTATATTCTTAGGAATTTTTAACTCTCTTCCAGTATGTGTTATATAAAACCAGGTGTCAGGCTTAGACTTACCTAAGTTTAGTAAATCATAGATTAATCCATCTAATTGGGCAAGCTTTTTGAAGGAAATTATATTAGAAAATAATTTTGTATTCACTGTAGGATTTTATATTCTAAGCTTTAAGGTAGACTATTCAATTTGATTAATGATCATGTTGCATTTTTGTAGGAAATAATTCAGTAACTCCTTTTTTTTACAAAAATTTTTAATTATAATTAATATCTGACTTTACATGTACTGAAATCTTTTTTCTTAGCTACTTACCATTAAAGAAAGAAAAAGAGGGACAAATGAAAGGAAGGAGGAAAGGACAAGAGAGGAAGAAGAAAATAAGTGATGTTCCTAACCACTAAGGTGACTCAGTGAGCAGCTAAGAAAAGGCAACATATTAACAAATAATTGTTAAAACATCCCCCCCCTCCTTTTTTTTTTGGTCAGAGTCTTACTCTGTCACCCAGGCTGGAGTGCAGTGTCATGCTCATGGCCACTGCAGCCTCAACTTGCTGGGCTCAGGTCATCATTCTGCCTCCACCTTCCAAATAGCTGGAATTCTAGGCATGAGTCATCCTCCTAGCACAACATTCCTTAGATCACAACGGTCCTCTTGTAAATTTGCTACAGAAGTCAATGTCAGGAACTTTTTTGATCTTGGAAAGTGGAGAGTTTGTATTATTTCTCATGCTTAATTTATTATTGAGTTTTTGCAACTGTGATGAGTAATGGACTTCATCACATTCCCTTGCAAAATGGAGCTAAGAAAATTTGGATTTGGGGTGTGTGTGTGTGTGTGTGTGTGTGTGTGTGTGTGTGTGTGTGTGTAGATACAGAATTTTAAATATTCAGGTTGACAAATTTGAAATATCTTTTTGACAAATAAGGAAAAAAAATACACTCGAGTTATGCTACTTGGTTTAGATACTATGAAATCTATTTGAGGATTTATGGTATGACCAAAAGAGGATTCAATTA